TCTGTGTTTCTTCTAGCAACCCCTGTTGGGCTGAGAAACCTTAAATTCTGTCATTATAGAAATATCTTTGTATCTGGTGTAATGTTCCATTTTTCTTGCTCTCAGGAGTCAGCATTTCTCCCTGCTGCTGCTGCATCTTTCTGGCCATCACTGACACTGGAAGATGCTTCCTCCATCCTGAGCCTTGTGATAAAAGGTTTCAGCCTAGCTCTTCAGCTTTGAGAAAGTGTGCCCTCTTATTCTGTTGAGTACACCTGAAGTAGTGTGTATGGAAGCTGGGTAGTTCTTGATGGCAGAAATGCCTAGTTTTTAGATATGACTGGAATAATTTGTGCTGCATCACCACAAGCCAACTTTGCCACTAGACAAGGTTAGCAATATGTTTTGTATAGCAATGAATGGGTTTGGTACCAGACTGTGGAAAGGTAAATTTACAAAGTGCATTAAGTATGTTTAATGCCCCTCATAGCCTTTGCTGTTGCAGCTTCTGAGTTGCCATTTTGTTCTCTTTAAGCTGGGATCTCTTTTGATAATGCTAAGATCTCAAATTTAAAATGTCTGGTGCTGCTTCTCCTTCTGAGTACCCCCTTTCCTTAGAGATAAGATCATAATGCTCATACTGGGTTAGCAAACATGCTGTGAAGGAGATGCTGGAGTAAGTGCAGAGGACACCAAACTGAAGTTTTTAAAATTTTCCCTGAAATTTGAGATCTTGGATTTTGGAATGTGGGTTCTTTGAACACCTAACAAAATGACAGGCTTAAGTTGTCTTGTTTTTTAAATTTTTGCTGTGTCCTTTTGGGGATGAAGTCTGATTGTAACCCACTGAAATAAATTTGGGAAATGGTCAGCTCTTGATTTATTGTATCTAAATTCTGTACATGCATAGCTCCAGTTGGTCCCTTCTCTGTGTGTGGGAGGATGCAAGGCAGAATGCTGCAGAGCAGTAAGTACTCATCTACAGTGTCAGACTGAACAGCCTCAATTACACTGTGACTAAGTACATATAAGGGTATTCTATTTTGAAGTTTAACTTATGATTGCACTTCAAAGAACCATATATTGCAGCAATTTGGTACTTTTAACGCAGCTAGAATAGTAAGACTGGGTATATCCATTAGTAGAAGCAAATAAAAATCAGAGTGAGATGAAATAGGAGTACTTGAGAATGTGATTAGCTATATCTGTTGAGGTTTCTAAAGATTGGTGTCTGGTCTACAGAGAGCTGGCTGAGTACATTGTACTACTTCCTTCTTTCAGATATTATTTTGAATGAAAATGAGCTAAAATTAAATATTTTTTAGATAAACAGTCCTATAGTTAATGTGATTAATGCTGATTTTTTTCATGATTGTAAGTAGGACTGAAAGTCTTAAGATAGCCAGTGAATATTAAATCTACTTTATTAAAATGTGTGACCTAGAATCAAAAACGTCACTAATTTCTGGAGAATTATTTTGATTTTGCCGTTTTTAGTACAAGGAATATTTTCTTCTGTAAGATAAGCTTCCTGGTTGCAAATGTTATTGCAGAGATTACTGGGTTTTTGTAACAGGTAGCAAAAATAAACTTTTTCCAGGAGAGTTATTTAGATATTTCTTCTTTTTCCCCCAATTTTCCTATATAATGCTCATTAGCAAAACAAGAAGCTGCATACCTAACCTCTTTAAAATCTAAACATGGTAATTTACTAAATTTAAAACCATGTATCTTTATGTAAAAGGGTGCCAACTTTCTTTAATATATTAATATAAGGACTAAACATGTTGTTAAAGAAAAAGCTGTCAGAAAATTGCTTTTGGTGGGAATTTGTGCTATCAAAGGTATTGTGTATAGTTTTGAATAGATATTGAATATTTAAAACTAAGGTCTTGACTAAACTGAACTTGCAAATAAAGATAAATTCTTAAAAGTAGTCTTTCCACTTGTGGTCTAGATGTAAAGAATAGACAAGTAGCAGAAAAAAGAGAGATCTTGGTTGGACTTCTTTCATTCCTTTAGTGCTCAGTTACCATGGTACTGTAGCAGGAGACCATAGCTACGAGGGAAATGGTGCTGGTGTTGTGTTGCCATTGTTAAGGTTTTTCACGAGTTTCCAATATAAACAATTTACATTTCCTTTTGTAATAGCTCTGTAGGATTTTTGACAAATACTAGGAGGAATGCTTCCCATTTAGAAGAGTATATTGAAGAAGTCTTTATAGACTATTGTGTTTTGTCCATAGCTACTGCAGGAACTACACAGCTTGCTTTCAAGGCCAGCAGTTTACCAACATAGCAGACAGGCAGCTTGTCAGTTCAAGCCAGTAATTTAAATCTTTGGTGCTAGTCAAAGCTGTCAACTTAATAACGGCTTACTGCATAAACAAGCTGGAGGGCTTACTCTAGGTCATTAGTATGGGAAGTTTCTCATACTGAATTGATGCATATCAGTGCAGATTATTTGAAAAGCAAGGCTTGTTTGAAGGAAAGGTAGTAGTGCTTTGTGCTTACAGCCTTGGTCATGGCAGTGGGTAGTAAGTGTCATTTGAGACGTGAAGCGGGATTAGATAAGTTTTGATTTTTGAAGAAGAAGAGGGTCATGTGGTTGGGTTTGTACTGTGCTTTCTTAAAGGCACACAGGGCAGAAGGAGCAGGCTGGAACGGTAGCCAGTGTGCCATAGCAGGAAAGATCTGCTTTGCAAGGCCTTCTCCCACCACTGACATGGGCGAAGGAATAGCATGGGAAGTTGAATGAGTAATGGAGCATATACAAAGATTTGGCTACTATGATCCAGTACACTGGGGACACAAATACATCAGAGCCATCTAAATTCTTGGTAATACTACATAAAAAATAATCAGTACTTCATGTTTTTATGCCACTTTTTCCCCAGAGTTGCCAAAATGCTTCATCAGCAGTACAGCAAAAGATCTCTCTGGTTTTAAGTAGTGTGTATATGAGGATTATTTTTTTCACCTCTAAACAGTGCCCCTTAGGGCACTGAGTAAGATACACACTCTCCTGTTTGAAGTAAAAATTGAAGAGCAATGAAGTGCTATGAAGCTTTCAGTGACTGTGACTCGGGAGTTGGGTTTTGTTCGCTGATTGCAGTCAGTCACAACCCCTGCACCGGCAGGAATTGTAGCAAGATACTGGCTCGCTGCTTTGAAGCTGTGGTGTTTTGAGTCTAGCAGTCCTTATGGAGACTTAATGGGCTTCTGGTGGCCAGTTTCATTAAAGAACTGACTGGCAAGGTCCTCACTAATGTGTAAAGCTGAACAGGATTGTGCCATAAGGGTTTAGTAAGAGAAAATTTGCCTGTGTATTTAGAAATATGAAGATATTTTAAACATGGAACAGTTTGACTACCACTGTCACAGAATTCCTTAAACAGTAAAAAAAAGTGTCTGTACTGTCTGGAAGCATTTAATTATTGAAAACAGGAGCATCTACTATATAATGAACTGCAGTTATGCTGCTGAAATAAATTCATATTTTGTAGTTATCAATTTTCTTTAGATTAGAGTCAGGACTAATTGCATGCATTTTGCTGTGGATTGATAGTTCAAAGGGAGATTGTTCTTCCTTTTTTCTTGTCTAAAATTCGCTTTATGTATCTCTTAAATTTTTTAATAAGTAAAATATGCCTGAACAGATGATGTGTTCTAGTTAGCCATATATAGCTACACTAAAGATCTGAAAGTTCCCTTGTTAAATGTCTTAAATATTTAATTTCTTTTTTGTATAAGCAATTTTAAAATTTTTGTTACAGGAAGAGTTGCCCATATCCCATCTTACTATTTTGATTTTTAAAAAGTAAATGAATAAAATAAAGAGATTCATTTTCTGGCTGAAGATGTGGGATGATGGGAAATGTACAGCTGCTTAATATGTTTTCAGAAATGAGGTTGGAGAATATAAAAAGTAAATACAGTCAGAAACATGGAAGAAAACATTATTTAAGCCTTTTATGTTCTGGTCAATGCAGATGAAGTCATGTACTTTCTTTTACATAATGTGCTCCTTTAATGGTCCTGCTGGAAATAGACTTCTTGGCAGCTGTACAGTGCAGAACAAGATGGATAAAGTTCTGTTCCTGTTTCAAAATGCTGTAAGTGTGAGCATGTCAGAATTGTAGTAAGACAAATTCAGTCTTTTTTCTTTTTCAGTTTCATCCATTTGATGTTAGTTAAACGAACTGTTAAATTACTGAGAGCACATCTGAAAAAAACTATCATTTGTCAGTAGTTTTTGGAGTGAAATCTTCTGTATCCTGACCCTGCTGAGGAGATGGAAGTGTGTAGTGCGGAGCGTAATGACTCCATGGTGAAAAACTGCATTTAACTCCTTTATTTCTTTGTGAAGACCTTGCTGGATCTTTAGATCACATGGCATTCTTCAAAAACCTTTATCACATGGGTGTCTTAGGAGCTGGAAACATGTATTTTTGTAGTCATGGGATCAATTGCTGTCTTTTGGGTTCTGTTTTAGCAAAGATGTAAGTGTGCATCATTTCATTGTGGTTAAGCAAAGCATTAAAATCTATGCTATGTGTAGATACTCATAAATTCACTGTGGTTCTGTGGTTACAGGTGTTCTGAAGTGTTCTACTGTAACAGCACTGCAGTCCCTAATGCAAATCCCCTGTGTTTCAAATTCCCAGTATGAGCTGACAGCTGGTTACAAGTCAGTTATCATGTGCTGTGATTTGTCTCCTGTACCCTCAAAAGATTCAAAAGCACTGAATGTTTGCAAAAGTAGCAAGCCAGAACAGTGCACACCTCCATATGTGGTATGACAAAGTGACTGAATAGCTTGTATTTTCATCGTAAAGCCTTGCAGATTTATAGCTGCCGCAGCTTTAATGATGAATAAGAGCTACCCACACAAAGAAAGAGATCTAATGGTGACTGAAGGCAAGTGAAATTGAATATATGCTCCTTATACGGCAGTGTGTGGGAGACACATTTGTAACATACTGAGTATCTGAGCAAAACCATGTGTCATGTTTCCTTAGGTTCTCAACAGGAGATGTGTAGAAGCAGCAGTGATGACAGGCCTGGCTCTCAACTGCAGCATAAACAAGAAGTCCTTGTTTGACAGAAAACACTACTTCTATGCAGATCTGCCTGTAAGTATGCAGTCAGCATGGCTGGTCCCTCCTGGGCTCTGGGAAGGACAAGTCTGCAGTACGGATGGCAGTAGGGCCGGAGAGCAGAGATGCTGCTTCTGTTTTCAGCCAGTGCTCTGCCCACCCCAGCAGGATGCTGCACTGTGCCCTGATGGAATAGGCAGCTGTACCCTTGTGCTCACTGATTGAATATGATTGCTCTGATTGCTGACTCCTTGCTTAGCTGCACAATTCCAGTAGCCTAATGTAATTGGATTGGGAGCTGGAGCTGCTTTGTCCCTTAAGTTTCCCATTCCTGGTGTTTTGTACTAATTATCTGTTAGGGCAAAAGCAATCTGATAAAAGTCCTTCATTTAAAGTGAATGTATAACTAACAGAGGCTCCAGTGGAATAAACACAGTAGGATCTTTTTTGTGTGTGCTTAGGGACCTAAAAATATTTAATTTCCCTTCAAAACTTTCCTAGTCATGGTTCCAATAAATGAAAAAGCCTAAACAACTGAGGAATTGAGTCTTTGCAGTGTGGTTTGTTGGTAGATTTCAAATGTGTAGAAGGTGCCACTGGAAATCAGATGTATTTTGCTGCATTTGATATGGATGTAGAAATACTGAAATAATTTAAGAACCTGACTTCTGTCCATACAACAGGATGCAGCAGTGTTTGAGCCTTTTTTTCTCTCTAATGACATTAAACCTTTCTAATGTTTAACTTACTTTTGCGTGAGCTTATTGGTACTGAATGTTCAGTTTAACACTAATCTATCAAAGGGAGGAAGCTAATTTTAGTTTCTTTGGTTTTGGAGTGAAGATCTGATGACATGAAAATAAAAATATGTGGGTTTATTTTATTTGGACAAGATCAGGCATGTTAGCTTATGCTGTCTTTAGGTGAGGAGTCTCAGACATCCAGAGAAGCAGAGTGGGAGACCTCTCAGATCCCAGACAAATCTGTAGAGGTGCTGTATTATTAACCAAATTACTTACTTTCCCACTCTTGTTCAGGTATTGAAAATATTGTGAAGTTTCACAATACATTTTCAAATACAATTGCTTGCCACCTTAGAAAGAGGATGGTATTATAGTTGTCCAGTGGAGACCTGGATCTCAGAAAGGATTTCTGTTTTATTTTTTTTCTACGTTGTGAACTTGTGGCTCTTCTGTGAAGTTGCTATAATTTTGATTTGGTTTCTGGGAATAACTTTGCAAATATTTGTAAGCCATTAAGAGGCCCTTTTATTGCGAGCTGTGCAGTGACCTGCTGGGAATGTGAAAAGCAAACTTAGCAGTTTGAATTGCCAGTACTTTTTTTAAAATGTAGAAGTATATTAAAGCCCACTTCAAGACCTGAAGGGAAAAAAGGTGAAGTAGCAGGAAATAAATATGACTTTAGAAATTCCTTTACACATCATGTAGGAACATCAAAAACATCACAAACAAATTGTTTGCAATTTACTTTCAGTGCTTACTCTGTTAAACTGAAATCACTCTCATATTCTTGTGATGTCTGCTGCTGTCAGTCTACTGATAGCTGCTATATGGGTGAATGTTGTCATGGGAAAGAATGCACATCCATGTGTCCAAGAGGACAGTTGAGGTGGAAGAAACTCTGCAGACATGAATTATAGGATCCTCTGGTTACAGAAGCATGGAGATTTGGTCAGGGAGATGCTGACATGTTTTATTAGTTGGGAACATGTAATTCTGGCTTTTAACTGACTGACTTCTGCAGTTTAAGCACTGACAATAAACTGCCCGACCTACATTTCATAGTGAGCAGTCTAGTCAGGAACCCTGTAATAAGATGCAGAGTTTAGGCTAATGAGCTGAATAGAACAGATAAATCCAGCTCTTAGGGTCATTTGACAATGGGATTATTGTTACTCCTGAAAACGGGGCTTTGGATGGGAAATGGGATTCATATTATTTATTGTCACTCAATATTTCAGGCTGTAAAAAAAATTATTTTAATGAGAACTTCTAGGAGATGAGAAGAGCCTGTGATTAGCATAAGCTGTAGAGAGTCAGTTATTTTCTTTTTCTTACAGTGATTATGTCTGGTAGGTCATGCACTTCACTGCATATATAAATTGGGGTGTTGACAGGGCCAGCCCTGTTCTCCATTCCAGTGCCCTGGAATTCACCATCTCTATATTTTGGAGTAAGCTTGTCATCCCTGCAAAATACACAAATACTCCTCCCAAATAATTTGTTTCAGGCAGACTTTTTTTTAAATTTTCACCACTAGTGCCATAGGCAGGTGAGGAAGGAGGAAGCAAATGGGACCCCACCTCAGCTGTCTTTGATTCACTTCTATTTTCACATCATTGCAGTTATTCCAATACCTTGTCACTGGCAGCCACTGTTTTGGCCAGCAGTTCCCCTTTGAGTGGAGTCCCAGGCGTGAGGTGGCATTTATCAGCTGTGTGCCTTACATGGGGTTGCAGCATCTTATCTTTTAAATTGCTACATTAATGAAATAGAGCTTTCTCATTTTCTTGATTTCCCTGCCTCCACCCCTTCCCTCTCCTCCCCTCTAATGAGTACAATTTGGAACAGACAGAGGGGGATATGCAGCCTGTTGGGAGGAGGAGGGATAGCCCCAGCTTGGGGATGGAAGTACAGTAACTGGCTTCAAACAACATGTAACATGATTGTGGGACCACAGGCATGGAAGAACCTCCTCCAGTCCATTTCCTGCCCCAGGACACTGTCAGAGAAGTTTGTCATCCTTGGCAAGAGATTGTGCAGTTGATTATTGATTGTTTCAGCATTGCTATGGTGTTGTATATTTGTCTGTATTGAGAAGTCCTCGTATTTTTTCCAGACTTCCAGCTTCTTACCATTATGTTGAATTCTAGGCTCATCTTCTAGCTTCCTTCCTTTCCATTTAAGCAAAGTTACTTTTGAATTTACATGTGCATTTATTCTCTCCTCTTATATAGGTCACTCTGAAAGATGTTGCATTTTTACTTTTGTTCTTAATCAATTATATTTGCACTTGGTCTACTTTCTGAAAAGTGAGTGTTTCAGTTGCATATAAAACTAATTTTGTTGACAGGCTGGCTATCAAATCACTCAGCAAAGAGTTCCTATTGCAGTGAATGGAAGTCTGTCATACAGTCTCTGCGTAGACAACAAAATGAGCCAGATGGTGACCAAAACTGTGAGGATTAAACAAATTCAGTTGGAGCAAGACAGTGGAAAAAGTCTCCATGATGATATAAGGAGCCAAACCCTTGTGGACTTGAATAGGGCTGGTAGGCCTGGATTATATTCCTATTTCTCTCCTCCTTTTGGGTTAAGATGAGACTTTAAAGGTAAATAGATGTTTTTATTTTTTGCCTGCATATAGCAGGCAGAAAATAAAAACAGCTTTATGGCTCTCTCCTTGAAAAAATAATTCATGAAAATGACTGTTACACTGGAAACAGATGAATACTTGATTTTTTTAATGGCCAGTAAACCTTTCCCATTTGCTGTTGGTTGATGGCAATTGGCAGTAGCAAGTTAGAAATCTCTTGGCTCCAGTTTGCTCAAAACTGTGTCAGTCACATAGAGCCACTCAGCTTTTTAAGCTCTGCACTGTATGTGCTGTTAAAAAAAAGTAAAATATTGCAGATCTAGTGAATCAAGTTTGTGTATAGGAAGAGCAGCTGTTGGAATCTGTTGGTGCATGAGTCAGTAATTTCTCTTAATTAAAAGCTTTGAGGAAATGTAGATTTTCTCTTTTAACTTAGAAATTGGAAAAGGAGTGATCCAAGGAGTGCACAACATGGGCAGCAACCTGGCTGGCCTGGCCTAACTGGGATGAAGTACTCTGGTGTCCATCAAAGCTGAGGGCTGTGGCTGCTCAGGTTCCTTGAAAGCTAGGTCCTGAAGCTAAAAACTCGACTACATCTGTTTACAGTTCTGCCTGCTCCACAATTAGTTTAAGATAAATTGCATCTAGAACCCAATTGGCTTTAAATGAGAGTCCTTCTAGAAAGGGCCCTTCTGATCCGCATGTCATCAAAGGGTGGGGGGTTGTCTGCATTTGTCAGTTACTTTTAAAAAATTGCAGGAAAAGTTTTTATAGCAATCTGTAGCTAGGCCCATTGTGGTGACAGTTGCTAAATAATACATGGGGGTTTATGTGGTTTTTATATTTTTTTAAAGAAGTCCAAGTTCTTTCATGTGTTAGCCAGTTGCACTCTGATATGCCAAGATCAAAAGCTATTGTTGAAAATCTCCTGTCTCTTTTCCTGGTAGGAGTTGGTCTCATGGAGGTTGTCATGGAGCCTGATATGTGCTGTGGGGAAGAAGCAGCTGCAGCAGTCAGAGAGCTTCAGCTCATTCTGCAAACACTTGGGAGCAGCCAGGCAATCATGGCAGGTACCAAGGGGAGAAAGGCATGTTCCCTTTTCACTAGTAATTCTCTGCATTTGCCAGAGTTTTGCGGCTTCCAGTTATTTTTCTCTATGGTTGCTTATAATGCATAGCCCTTTCTAGCTGTAATTTTACAATCCTCAGAGTCTGTCCTAATGTCTGCCATGCTTATAGGCCTGCCTTTGTCTGCAGAGCTTTGCCGTGCTAGATGATGTGTTTCCTCACACAGTAATTTTACAGGATAAGGCTAGGCAGGAAGACATGTCCCCAGGGTTCTTGTGGCGCTTCTCCCCATCTCTCTCTATCTTGCCTGGCACAGCACTGCAGCACAGAAGATCTGTAGCAAGGATTAATTGTAGGATATGGAAGGGACAAGGGGACAAAGTAGTGGGAGCATTGATCATCTTCTAAGTGTCAGGTCTCAGCTAGTCATACAATTGATGTAGGCAGTAAACTTGTGCTGGTGTCATGGATGAGATGGAGTAAACAACAGCATGTACAGAAATGGGTGCTGGGGTTAATTTTACCCAAGATTACCTATCTTTCTGAGACCACTTCCCCTTGCAGGAAACGTTGCTTCTGGTGCCAGCTCCTTCTGTAATTTTAAGGCCCCAATTTTTACAATAGGTGATGTGCAGAAGCATAGCCTGCATTCAGCCTCCTCACTGGTGATTTTATCTCATTAACTGTAAAATTCAGATCATGCCATTGTTCCTCAGTCTTAATGTTACCAAAATTTACAACCGGCACATGGTTACAGGTAACATATAGCAGACATCTGCTTAAGTATTTAAAAGTGGTTTCAGGCATTCATCCCCTCCACACATATCCACAATTAGCAGCTGCTTATTAGTGTTCACAGTGTAAGCTATATTTTTGCCTGTGACAGGTGGCCTCACTGTCTGGCAACAAATTCAGTCCATTATACCAGTGGATATCTCCTGGAAAACTGAGTCAGAGTGGTCTATGCATCACACAATAAATGGGATCCAATAAATGTTGGCTACTGATGCAACTTTAATTTAATGTAGTGGGAAATAATAATAGCTAGACATTATCTATTTCTCTGAATCCTTTCTCACACAAATATCCCACATCTCAAATAAGGCACAGTTGTCAGTATTAAGCAGCCAGTTTGGATGCTTCTCCAAGGGCCTTTGTGGGCATACATATATACAATCATTTTTCACTACTGAATTTGGGCCTAAGATTGCCATTGAAATTGCATTGTAGTATCTTTTATCGCAGGGAGATTTCTGACTTTATATGAGAATCCCAGTATTGGAAATATTTTTCTTGCAGGAAAGGTAGCTATAAAAGTATGTGGATTTTTTTCTTTCTTTCTAAGTGAAGGTTTTAGGTGCTTTTGCATGTACAGTGAAAACATGTGCCCAGTTTTATCAGATGTTATTTCATTAACAACAAACAGATGAAAAGATGCTCTCATTTTAAAGTAAAGGAAAGTAAGCTGGGCTTAAAGAAAAAAAGCCCTTTTTTGGGGTTTTTTTGCTTTGGTCTTTTTCTTTTTTCTATGAGGAACTTTTGCAGCTTGGGTCTTTTGCTTATGCCTGATTAAATTCATTGGTCACACTGACACCTACATCCAAGTAGAAACAGGTCACGTCTCAAATGAAGCAAGGGCAGGACAAGACTTTCCTCGTTTGGAACAAGTACAAGTTTCACCCCAAAGAGGGAGCACATGCAAAACACTTCCCTTGAAAGAGATGTTGGGTCATTCCAGCATCTTTGTCTCATTTGCATGTCTGGCAAGGCTCTGTGAAGACAGAGGAAATTAGTGTGCTGTCATCCAGCCTGCTTTTACAAATTGTACCAAGGTCTCGTTGGTCAGTTTAAATCTATTGACCAGAATGGGTTCTGAAGCCATAGCATCCTCACTGTTTTAACTCTGAGCCATTTTGCACTCTCATTTATGATTCTGTAATATTATAATGTATCCAATCAGTAGGCATTTGTTTCTTTTTATCCATATTTAAAATAAAAAAATGAATTTAAAAAAAAACACATGGAAAGGCTACAGATGCTCAATGTGTAATATGGGAAAAATAATGTTTCTTAACATTCCAGGATGTAATACAACCTCTCCTGTTTGTGTATTCCCAGCAGCTGATAACTGTGGCAAGTCTTTTCTTCTTGGAAGAGATGTCTTTAGAGGGACAATACTTAGAAAGATATAATTATTATTTCCTTGTGGTTGAGTCACTAAAAATTTTTAAGGACATTGATCCATTTTGGACTGAGAGTGCATGATGCTTTTATATAAAACTTCGTACAGTTTGTGGCAGCCAGGGACATTTTGAGGGGTAAGATTGCAATTTCCTGAAGGAGAGGAAGAAAATTACCAAAAAATCCACTGCTGCTTACATTTTGTCCTTGAGCTGTAAATTTCCAAGAACACCTTAGTAAATCTGTTCAACATAACCTTAAGTTCTTGTGTTCCATGCTAGGGTAGTATATATCCATCAAATTGTAATTCCAAAAGGTATTTTTGTGCTGCTTTGAGAGGAATGGAAGCTCACAATCCACACTTCGCGTGTCTAATTCTGCCCTTTATTTAAGATCTGTGAATCAGAAGCTGTTTTCACTGTATGGTTTAGAGGATCTGTGCTGCACTGCATCATGCAGCTTTCTGAGAGGAATTATGAGCAATGATTTAAAACTATTTGGAATGATTCAAGGCAGTCCCTTGAGATGGAATCACATACAGAAAGCTATGATGAAGTGGTTGTTACTCCATTCTGAACATAGAGAAGTCTGCTATTAAGGCTTTGTGCATAACATGCAGTTTATTAATGCATGCCATGGTTTTTAATTCTAGTGTAAAGGGCAGCCTGTTCTGTTAATAAAATTTCCTTTTACAGAGGGTCAGCTGAGAGTGGATGCCAATGTTTCTGTGCATCACCCTGGAGAGCCCTATGGAGTGAGGACTGAAGTGAAGAATATCAATAGCATACGATTTCTGGCAAAAGCAATAGGTAAATGGTGGTTGCTTCATTACAAGAGCATTGTAGGTATTTTATGTGGTCTGAGATGAAATATGTCAGGCTCCTGAGTGCAGTAATTGGCCTTAAATGCCCTGACAAACTTCACCTAGGTGTCTCCTCCCTGTGCCTTGCCTGTGGGTACAGAAGTCCCATTTAGACTCAGGCTGGGATCTTTGGAATTTGTCTAAATAGTTGTGTCACAGATCCTGTCTCCTGAAGGACCTTGGACCTGTTCTGTAGTCTTGTTCCTAGAACCTAGCTTCCTCTGCTTCTCCCTGGATCCAGCTCATCCCCTCACTTCCACTGGCACTGTCAGAGGACTCAGTTGGTAGCACGTGCCCCTGCTCGCACTGTTCAGACCAGTGGGACTGCTTCAGACAATGAGGGCATGGCCTGAGCTCTGGCCACCCTTCACTCCTGGCTTATCCCTCTTTATAGAGCAGCCCCACTCTTGCTGCTCCCTGACAGAATAAATCTTAGTATGGGGTACACTGGGAAGGGCAGGCATGTTAGTCTGCAGGTTTTTTGCATAAAACCTCTGCCTACGAGAAGAATGAAGCAGGTGGTTCAGTGCCTAGCACGGACTAAAATATGGTAGCAGCAGTTTTGTGTCCTCCAGTGGAGATGATTGCTTTCCACTGAGTATGGTCTGTGATGTGTGTGAAGTTCAGATGCAGCTTGGGTTTGAGGGAAAAAAAAGCTGGTTGTTACATCTCCAAAAGAAAACTGAACTGGGTGAGTGCAAGGTCACTGGGAATATATGATTTGACTGCAGTGCCTGGGAGAAAATGGTTTCCATTTAAAGGAAATGAAAGCAGATGAGGAAAACACACAAAGAAAGAAGCAGTGCTGGAGAGAGAGACAGTGACTGATAATTCTGCCCATAACTACTGCTGTTGATTTCATTAAGGTTAAAACAACAAAGTCTTCCATTATGGCGTAGCAGTGAAAAATGAAATAGTGGAGTGCACTAAAGCTAATAGTGTAGTCTAACAAGCTTACTCTTTTTTCTTTTATTATTATCAGACTATGAAATACAGAGGCAAATTGAAGAACTTGAAAATGGAGGGACAATTTTGAATGAAACAAGAGCCTTTGATTCTAAGCTTGGGTGAGTTTTTATTTTGGAGGAGCATAGGAATAGCTGCTTTTGAGTGCCCACATACACCTAGTGACGTGATCAGGAGCTGTAATATAGTGTTGCTCAACTTGTGTCTTCTAAAGTTAATGTTCACAAGTATAGTCTCCTCTTAGGGAGTAAGTTAAGGCTAAGGCTTTTTCACAACAGATTGTGTCCTGCATCAGGCAGTGTCTGTGAAAATGACTGCCCTCTTACATGCACTTATTCTTTGAAGTGGTTTTCAAAGGCACTCCTAATCTTCATGAGGCAGAGGTTTTGGGTTGTGGTTTTGCCATAAAACTAACTCATATCTTGTTTTGTTTTTATTTTAGGTGCACAGTACCAATGAGAGACAAGGAAGGAAAACAGGATTATCGGTATTTTTTAAAATAGACCTAACCTTTCACAAACTGAGAATTTATTAAATTTCTGAAGTGTAGCCAATGTTATAAGGGTGTAAAATTGGTCAGTGCAATGAGTATGTGTTGGAAGTTTGTCTCCCACTGGAAGGGGCAGAGACCTATCAAAATCAATGCTAGTCTGAGCAGTTCAGATCTGGATTTGTGTCTCATTTGTGGTAAAACCCCTGGACCCTTCCCAAAGACTAGGCTGGGATTACTTCAGCTCAGAGTGGGAAAGTTGAAGGTTTACTGTATGGCCAGTATAAGTGTATTCTTAGAATGACATTCTCATTAAGAATGCCTGACCTAAAACATCAGAATTTCTGAGCTCAGCATTGTGCCTGCTTTAAGTAAATACAGAGGGAAATGGTTTTAAGCTACCAGGCCCTGCCTCTCCATGCTTAGATTCTGTGATCACAGATCACAAACACTGTTTGAAAATCCTAGCTGCTATTGAAAGGTGTCAGCATTTCATGGGCAGTTTTCTACCTTGAAGTTCTTTGTAGACCTAATGAAGGTGCTGCCTTGCTAAGTACTTAGCCTTCCACAAGTGTGAGATGACAAACGCTCAACCATAAAGTCACCCAGGAAGGATTTAACTGTGAGGCTGAGGGGACAAGGCATGAGTCCTGTTGCAAAGCAATGCTGCTGGGAACAAGTTGGAGCCATCATAGTGCCAACCCTCCCAGTAGTTCGCTAGCTTTGCATTCCTGAGGGAGCTTCCTGTTACCCCCAGAGTTCACTTCCCAGCAGGAGAACTTCCAGAGTCTCTTAGCTTTGTCAGCTCTGTGTTCCTGTCAGATCTTATATTCTACCACTGATCTTGCTACAGCAGAGCAACAATTTTGAAAACATCCCACAAACTTTTAATTTAAATCTGCTTTTTAGATTATGTTTTTGTAGATATGCAGCAGTGATCATTTTGTGAATTCCTTGTTTTGGTAGGGGCAGGCATGAGGCTTATTTAAAAAGACTAATTTGAAAAAATGCAAAAGAAGATTCATTAAAACCTAGAGAAAACTGATGAGTCTAAGATATTTCAAAAAAAGACCATAAAGATTATTACTAGTACTACAATTATGAACAGCATTGAACTGTAAACTATATTTTTTTGTTGTTTTTTTTTAACTTAGTGCTGCACATTATACATTAATCTCAAAATCTATGTTTAGGCAGATTTTAAATAGAAATCATTATAGTTCAATGCCCTTTATTCTAGTGGTTTTGAACCCCTAATTTGATCATATAAGAGTGAAGTTTCTGCTTCAATCGCAGTTATTTGAGTCATTTGAATTGGCCTTCTCCTTAAAGGGAGCCTTTTGTTCTGTGATAGCACCCTGCTGAGCACAGTAACTTTGCTTTTAGCACAGCAGGAGATTTCATCAAGATTTTTGAAGTTTGGCTGGAAAAGGTTACAGCTTGCCCAGATCATTCCTGCCAGTTGGATGTCAATCCAAGTTCTTCCCTGTCAGCCCACTCCCATTTTTATCCAGGTCTGTAATTTATTCTTGATGCCAAAAAGAGTGGGATGTTTCCATATCTTTTGCTGGTGCTATTTGGACTTTTTATTATTATTTTTGGTGCAGAAGTGTTTGAATTACCCCTTTTGTATTATGAACTCTTTAACAATTGGTGGAGAATAAATTGCTGAAGGAAAAAAAAAGGCTTTGCAACAGTTTGGTGCCTGATCTCTTTCTACTTACCAGTGATATACCAGGTCTTTAATTTTCAATATTTTGTTTAGTTGAAAGGGTGGTACAGCTCTCAGGGAAGTATAAACTTGTGATATAAATTTTATTCCTTGTTGCTTAGCTTCTGAGTGAAAATAATTATAAAGGAGTTTTTCTTCTTTTTTACAAGGTTCATGCCAGAGCCAAACCTTCCTCCATTGATTCTGTACGATGCAAAATCTTTGCCAGCTAATATGAACCATCAGCAAGTGATAAATATTGATTGGATTCATGAGAGACTTCCTGACCTCCCCAGTGTGAAGAGGAAAAAGCTTGTTGAACAGTATGGGATTCTTCCTGAACACAGCTTCACCTTATTGGTAGGTCTATTGATCAAGTGCTAAAATAAGCCTAGAAACTTCAAAGGTGCATGGTTCTTGAAAAGATTTACAAATGTCATATTAACCAGCTGTCAGTCCTTATGAACATTCTAACTTGGAAGTGTGTCCAATGCATACTTCTTGCCATGGAGCCATACACATAGAATGGTGGAAAAAATGCACCAGACACAGGGTGCCAAGAAGTGTTTCTTATGCAAAATGCAGTCAAATAACTGGTACTTAAATTGATCTTGTCTGTCTAGACATTGCTGCACCCCTGCCTGACTGCAACAAATGTACAGCTTCTGGATACTGTCCCTTGTCTGCAAGTGTCTGCTCTTCAGCTCTGGGCCTGCTGCAAGGCTGGGCACATTGACCATACTTAATGAAAGCAAATCAAAACCCAAAGTCTAAATCTTTCAGCCTCATGTTCTCCCAAATGGTTGCACAGTATCAACCTTGACCTCGTAGCGCAGTTTACCAGGGATAGGTTCAGAAGAGGGATAAGAAGGGAAACAATGTGGCAAATACAGTTAAAAATAAGGAAGTGACATCAAAGTCTTGTAACTCCCAAAGTTGTTCTAGAGGACCATGAGTTTCTTAAATGCAAACTATCATCTCTCTTTGCCAGTGGTAACTCTGGGGAGGGAGTTAGTATACTCACCCTAGATTAGACATTTCACATACCCTGCTAAGCTAGGAGAATGTCCTGCTTTGGTTACCACTGTCATTAGTGGAGACAGAAGGAAAAGGACTTTTTCAGAGTGAGATTCAGAGCAGAACTTTAAGTACTTTAAATTGTCCTCTGGAGGAGATCCTTTCCTTTGACTATAAATTAAGGGAGAGCAGTGCACATAACTACCTCATATTCCTTCTTTGTATGTCTGTAATTTAATACACTTGTACAGAGGCTGATTCTACAGGAAGAAAATTACTCTGTGTTCTGAGGAAAGCTGTTAGGAAAACTGCTTTTGTGCTGCTGTGCCATTTTAGTGACTTGCAGACTGTTTGCTGGGCAGGTGAGTCATAATTCTCATCAAAGTCACAGTATTGAGAGGTGTCAGTAGTTCTTACCTTTCTATTTCATTATATGAGCTGCAAAATATGATTTTGCTGCCAGCATTCCTGTTCATACATGCATTTTTTTCACATATTTCTAACATTAAATTAAGCATAAGAGTAGAAAGGGTAGATGGGTCCTGCATCCTTTCTTTTTGAATTTTTCTACTTTGTCGTCTCTGTAGTGCATTGGTCCTGCCTGCTGCTAGGTACTACAGCTGCTTGCTCATTTTCCAAGCCAGTAGTATAGGGAGGAGATTAAGAAAAGCAAAAGTAAGGCTTGTGATTTGAGAGAAACATTGAAGTGAAGGAACAGAGTAGGGGAAAACCTAAAAATTATGCAAATACAATCATTCACCACTCCACAAGACTGGTTGCTGCCAGTCTGCAGCCAATGACACTGACTACATCCCCCAAAATCCCCTTCCCTCAGTTTTCCTTGTTGAGCAGGGCAGGGAATACAACCAGTTTGGGTTGGCTATTAGACTGTCCCACCTGGCTTTGTGCTCATCCTTGGCGTATTTGCTGTGGGGGACAGAGTGGAGAGAGAAAGTTGCTCAGCAGTAGCCAAAACACCTGTGTGTTGTCAGCGTTGCTGTGGTCACAAACACAAATATCTTTAGAACATAAACTCCATGGCAGCCATGCCCAGGGCACCCACTCCTTTCTCTTGGCATCAGCCCACCTTTTGTGCCTGTCAAGTTGCTGGTATGGGTGGCTTCTGTCATCTCTGCCAACTAGCCCTGTATATTTGCCTCATCAACTGCCCTTTCTTTCAGCTGTTCTCTGAAATCCTTTATTGCCTTTGCTTTTCCCCTTCTGCTTTTTGTGACGTATAAGACAATTAATGAGCTCCAAGCTGAAATTTGGGATTCAGCTTGTAATAAGCTAATGCATCCATTTGAATGCATGAAGCAAGCCCATTCTTCATTGCAGGTCTCCTTTTATTGTGCATTAGAATGTCAGCCTGCACACTCCCCACCAGAGCTGCTTGCCTGTGCGCTGGGACACCCGTTAACCTTAATTCATGGGAAGTGCCGTGTCCATTCTGCCTTCAGCTTGCATCAGAGCCTGCACAGGATTGCTGATAGGGCCAGATGCACACATCTAATGAGCATTCTTTCAGGTTAGAGCGCCCAGGAGTGCTCATTAAATAAATGGCAGTTGTAGAGGAATGGCTCTAAAATGCAAAGTCTGTTCTGCACCAACTTGATAGAGAAAGCATTTTGTGCCAGAGTTGCAATCAAACACACATACTCCAGCATGCAGGCTAGCTCCTGAGCTTGCTTCCAGAGCTTTGTCCTCATACACAGGAGCTGCCTGTACATACTGTGGTGCTGAGAAACTGAGATTCCTCCTTTGCCTAATTACAGGATGTACTGAAAGGGAAGAAGTACCTATTAATATCTTCATATCTGAAAAGCCTTACATGTAAATGCTTCATTTTTGGCAGTTTTATAAAAATTGTAGAAATAAATGATGTTTCTGATTTTTCTTCATGCAGAACTATTCTTACTCGTAATTCTTTGCGCCATGTACACTCCATGGTATTTGGGTATTCAATTTCTTCATGCAATTTCTGCTTTGCTCTGTAAACTGGTAAGCTGGCAAATGCATCAGTCAAGAAGGATCTCTGACAACTTTGCCAGTTATTTTCATCTTGCTATCTATTGAGTAAAAAAAAATAAGATACATTGGCGTAGACATTAATGTATTAATGCAGACATAAATGTATTAATGTGTTAATGCGATGCTTCATTTTCAAAATGCGTGCTGAGGTCCAGGGAGGTCCAACAAGAAAATACATTGATTGTCACAGCACAGCATGAGAAAAAACAGTCTGATCGCTTCCTTTGTCATGTGAATTTCAAGTCTTCCTGTGCATCTACTAGTCCTCTGCTTACTCAGATAAACGTGGCTGTTCCACTTGGGCTGATTGCCCTGGTGGAACAGTCACACTGGCGACTCCTTCAAACAGTCGGAAGTGGCTTCCTGGAGAAATTGTTTCTGACCATTTTGTTTCGTGCTCTGCCATTCTCAGACATATTAGTACACAGGTGAACTTATGCTTCTTTTAGAATTCAAATCATTTTACAATAAGCTTTAGGAAAAAGTTTGAACTTTCTTTGACTGGTCTGCTTGTCTCCTGGATGTTCTGTGGTTTTATCCCCTGACAGTCTTGCACAGTTTTGCAGCAGTTACCTCACGGATGGTTATTGTAGAAACTGTGATAGTGAAAACGGGAATAACAAAGCAGCAAATTACATTTTATTTGTGAACATTGAAGCAGTTTTCTTCTTTAGTTCTTTGGGAGACATTACTGGTCTTTAAAAGAATAAGTTTGCATTAAAATCCCAATTTCCCTGAAGATTGTACCCATGGTATTGTGTAAAATATTGTTTTAAAATTGTTTAAAAGGTACCTGAAATCACTACACCACTAGAGTTTTTTACATCTCACTGCTATGAAATCATCATTTTAAACCATATTTAAGAAGGAAATTTCCATCTGATTGAAATATTGGTATGTCAGGTTTCATGCCAGTGAGACTCACATGAAGAAATTACAGCATATTTGGTGTGTAATGGGAGCACGGAGTGGCCTACAAACATGATGCTGCTGTTCCAGATTTCTGGTTTTCTTTCAGTGAAGTTTAGAGTAGAGTATTCAGAATGAAGAGAGAACAGGCAGTCAGCATTCAGAGTGGCCTGGATTACAAACATGATGCTGCTGTTCCAGATTTCTGGTTTTCTTTCAGTGAAGTTTAGAGTAGAGTATTCAGAATGAAGAGAGAACAGGCAGTCAGCATTCCTGTAAACTGGGCATGTTGGAGGGTGCAGTTTTCAGCTGAGATTTGCCACAAGGGACAGGTCTAAGAGTGTGTTGGTAGTTGGAGTGAATTTTGGAAGAAAGTTTACCAAAATGTAAACCAAATTGAAGTCAAGTACTGCAGTATCTATAAACTGAAGCTAATCAAGTTATCTCTACAGTTTTTTAATATGACAAGAAAACAAAGAAAATGTTTCATTTCTGTCAGTCATTCTGATGTTTTGACATTCTGCTGTACTCATTTCAGTCTAGCATTACTGGGTTTTCCTTCTCTTTGGCTACAGAAAATGAAGTCTCTTTAAAAAACCCAAAATGAAATGCAAGAGAATTTTGGGGAATGTTTCTGGTTATGTGTGCACAAGTAGTGGGTATGGGGTTCAGAGACTTGGTAGCATATGTAAGTCTGTCTCCCTGAGTTTTCCTGGGCTTTTCTGCACTTGCCGCCTGGAAATCATCTGATTAAAATGCAAAGGCTGCATATGTTTGTCCTTGATTTTTCAAAGGTCTGGCAGCAGGATCAGAACTGTAACTCCAGCCAGGCTGTGAGTATCCAGAAATTGGGATGTCCCCACTGCTAGGGATACGCTGTGTAGCTGCATTCAGACATGTGGCATCTGCAGACATTATTTTCCTGTGCATAATGTTGTAGCTAGACCTACTCTGCCTGGAATGTTTGTAAAACCTTCTGCAGCATCTGTAAAGAACCCAGCATTCAGACATGCTCACTTTTTCCTACCTAGATTGGACAATTGTTGCTGTGTAAAGGAACCCACTATTTAAATAATGAGTGAGTGTGCTGTTGAACCCTGAGGTGAATTAGAAAGACTACAGTACTTGGCAATGTATCATTCTAGGAATTCTGCTTAACACACACAGTTTTTAATCAAGTTTACTGTGCTTTGGTAATCATGTCATTCCTTTACTTTTTTTTTAAGTCAGATTTTTTCCTCTAGTCTCTTTAGCCTTATTTTTGCATAATTTGATTAGAAAGTAAATGCTAGTTAAATTAAAATACTGAGTGAAGAATAGAATGATGTCAATGTGTATTAGATAGATGACTAGTGGGAGTTAGAAGGTTTACCTTGGTTCACAAAAGACCTCAGTGGTTTTCCAGGCTGAGAACTTGGTTTCTTTGGTCATGGTCTCAAGGTGAAGGGGATGGGTCTGATTTTTGTCACACCAGTTTTACAGCACTAATGTTAATCTAGGTACATTTTGTTTTGTTTCACAGAACAGAGATCAGTAGTTTGCAGTCTTCTCAAAAGCCATACATCATTATCAATGAAATATGTGGTATTTGGAGTTTTGGAAGTTTGTGTTGTGAAAGTTTGGAGAAGGAAAATTTAAAATTCTGTATTGCTATGGCAGTAAATGGCCTTTAAAAACAAGGACAAATGAGACTGTTTTGATGGCATGTGAGTGGAGAACTCAGGCTTTTTGTGGTTACCCTGCTCTCTTTTTGCTCATAACTGTTCAGAGATCTGGCTGCAGTCAGTATGTGCTTGAGAAATGTTTTTGCTGTGATGACTGTATACTTAGAATAGCTCCTTGGCTATCTCTAAGCTGTTACCTCCTGACTTCTGAGAGCTGGCTTGTCCTCCTGTGTGTTTATGGTACATACTGCAGAAATCCAGTGGCATGCTGGATTCCTCCTTTAAAAGGTAGGAGCTGCCACTTCATACCTCTTCAGACTTCAGTAAACCTAATGAGTTCTGTACTGCATTTAAAGGTCCATCAGTGCCTTGATGACAAACACCACAGCACTCAACAGACTGTGCAGTATCAGTTCTTCTAAAAACAATCTCAGATTTCACTTAGGCTATAAATTGAATCTCCCACTGTCATATCTTCTGAGCTGTTAGTGTGCTGTGTAAAAGCTTACCATAGCTTCTCAGAAAAAACTGGAAAATAAAACCCTGCTTCTTATGTATGACCTTTCCATATCTCTCAAGGGTAAATGCAAGCTAAATTTACTAATTCAGTCCAAAATAAATAGAAGTGATTTCAAGATCAAGAGTGAAGTAGTTGCAGACAACTTTCAGGAAAAGGCTCTTCTTGGTAAAAGGTAGCATGTCAGCATTGTATTTTCTAGTATCATACATAAAACACTTGCAAAGATGAGAAAGCTTCTGTCCAAATGCTAATTTTAGGGAGGCATTAAGAGAAAAATGATAGCTCATTCGTTGGAAGTTCCACTGAAACAGACAGGCTGACAGATAAACTGTATATTTCTCTGTATATTTCTGTTCTAGGCATAAGATTGCTGGCTGTTATGTTAATAAAATTATTCCAAAATCTTACAACTTTGCCATGAATTCACAGCTGAAGTTTACTTTAGGACTGAGCATTTATATGCTGAGTGTAAATGTATAATTAATTGTAACCTGTAACCTGTGTCACCTGCTCCAGGTGACCCAGCCTTGGCAGGGGGGTTGGACTGGATGATCTCCAGAGGTCCCTTCCAACCCTAACTATTCTGTGATTCTGTAACCATGTTTGCGCTCCAGTATGCCTTTGATACATTTAACTTTTTCTAAACAGAATGAAGACGGACTAGCAGAATTCTTTGAAAGTGTGGTAAAACAAACCCAAATGAAGCCAAAGAAGGTGATCGGCTGGATTCTAAAAGACCTGCTCAGTTACTTGAAACAACATTCCCTTACAGTAAAGGAAAGGTCAGTCTTCTTCACTGCTGCAGTGGTGAGACAAAGTGATCCTTTTCTCATGACTGGTACCATGTCACTCCATTGCTTGCAGCTGCTTTAGCTGCTCCCTGTGAAGTTTATTACTTCAGGCAGTCCCTCACAGGCCTTGGCTCTGTCCTGCTGAATGGAGTTAGACAAATACATGGCAGACAAGAGGATCATGTTGTTTGGAGTGGCAGTCAGTGTTCAGTCTTTGGAGTGTGATGATGGTAAGGCATAGTCAGGCCTTACCCATCAGTACTGAACATGAGGAAGAATAGCTTGTCATACTGAACTGTGTGATCTTTAGGCAAGCAGCAGTAGCACAGATACATTACAGCACTTCATTCTCTGATGTAACTTCTGCCCACTTTTTTCTCTAGCCCAGTCAGTTCTTTTCTCCTGGCTGACCTCTTGAACCTTCTACAAAAAAAAGAAATCTCTTCTACAGCAGCAAAGCAGGTAAGTACCTTTTTGATTTTGCTGTACTCCGCATCCATGGCTGCTTATTTCAGTTGTGTAGCGATTTTATTATCATTGTGTACCAGTACTATGGTTGCTTTAAAGGGAAATTATTTACACTGTTGATAAAGGATAACTTCTGTATCTATGCTGTATACATATAATGCAAATGCCTTACGTTTTTATATAATCTTAGAGACATATCTGCATATTCACTTTTAGAAGAGGGCAGAAGCTAAATAGTAGACTTAAACAATGTGAACTGAACTCAAATAAATCCGGCTTCTGAACAGAGCAGACAGTAGATCTCAATTTCACTATTCCAGTCAGGCCTGCATGAAAGGTCAGTGGGAGCTAATCCATGGCTTGCAGTTAAGATGAGTGTATCAGTTACTAGATTCCTAGGGACAGTAAAGTCTACGTTCCCAAGCATTAGCACATGGGAGAGGATAGAATTCATCCAAGTGCAGTCACAAAAAGAGTTCTGCATTGGTGTACCTGAGTCAAAAGTGGCAGAGGTCTGGCCTTTCTTTTATCCTTGTTTCTTTGAGCAAGTGCTATCATGAAGCTCTCAAGCAAGTAAAGCTGCAGTTTGGTTTTTTTTCATCTTGCCTAGGACAGTCTGAAAACGCAGCTCTTAAAGATTTATATCTAAAAAGTGTGAACTGGTTATGATGGGAACAGTACTGCTGTGTTTGTAGACAAAATATAGAGGCGTTTATGTGATGGGCCATAATCAGTCATTCACCTTAAATTGTTGCAAGTTCATTTATATGGAATGATTTGTCTTTTCAGATTAATTATTATACTCTAGTTAAGTGCATTAGGTGACTCTTTCAGTGTTTATCAGTGAAACTGTTAATGAACTGTGAATGAACTTTCTGGTTTGTTTTCTTTTTTTGGAGATACTTGTTGTTCTTAATTAAGTTGGTCTGTGTCTGGATAGCCAGCTGCATAAGACAGGCATCATAAATAGGGATTTAAGTGCCTGGCTTCAGGCATGTGTGTTTGGAAATTTTGTATTGGAAAAGTAAAAGCTTCAAAAAGGAGATAAAGTATTAATAGGAAGAGCACTGGAATGCAGAGCAGCTCTTTGCCTGCGGGGTTGTGGCACACCCATCAGTTTGGTGTCTGTGTTTGAAAAGGAAGCTTCAGAACTCCAGTCTGAAGTCTCTTCCTTGTGGAGGTAGGGACAGGGTACTAATGCTCTTCTATGGGATTTTCTGCTTTTGTGATATATTTGTGTGCCAGGCACTTCTGTGAAGTGTCAAGAATTTCAGAAATGCATTTGTTGTTTAATTACCAACTCCTTGTAATGTGCACGTTGTCCTCAGTGATCTGAAACTGGACCCAGAAGTCGCAGTGGTTTGCCCTCACCGAGTGATGATGCTATCAAACTGCAGAAACCTTGCCACATTTAGAAAAGTATTTTGGTTGCCTGGATGTCAAAAGAGTAACAAATGTTTATAACAATTCTCAGCAGTAGGCAGAGACGCTGGATGGCCTGAGGGCAGAAAGGGCTATATATACACACCAGCAGATGAATTGCATCTCCTGGGGAGGGGAGCATGATCTGCAGTGGCAGACACTGATCCAATGGGAAAGGATGGAAGGGTTCGATGGGGTGAGCACACAGACATGTGAACACATATGTGCTAGCTGCGGGAGGCTGCTAACCACTTAAATTATTTAAAAGGTTTTGTGTTTGGGCTTTGCTAAGGCAGTAAAAGAGGCAGATAAAAGCCGTGAGCACTGGCTGTACACACTGAGCATTGTGTGGTGGGATGCAATGCCAAGCTAAGGGCACTGTGTGCTTACATAGTTACCATGTAGGGAATTACAGAGCTCATGCCTAACTTGCCATCAAACATAGCATCCCACTCCAGAGGTCTCCAAAGCTGTTCCAGGCTGGCGTGCCTGTGCAAAGGGGGGAGCAGCTTCCAGCTCTGCTGGCATGTGGGGCTGTGGGTGGCCATGTCCTGGATCAGATGGATACATGTTGCCTGTGGCCCAGCCCAGAGGCACCGTTTTGAAGTGCGAGGAGTCGGTGACCCCTCTCATGGGGAGTGTGCCTGTGATGGGGCCTTGCTCCTCAAGATGCCAGGCTGGCAGCAGGTCCATATCTGGCGTTAACAGACCTGTCTGTGAGTTATGGCATTATGGGAGGAGGCTGGTTCCTGAGCCAGGGAAGTGGAAACTTGTCCCTGCTGCCATCAGGCAGTCTGGAGCCACTCCGTATGGACACCCTTGTCACTGGTTCATGGGGGATCCATGCCCAGCAGGCCATGGAGCAGAGCAGACCTTGGGTTTTGCTGGCTTCTGCAGTTGCATAGGTCACCCACATAGGAATCACTTCAACAGATCTGCCTGGCACCCCTACTTTAAAGTAGATAGCAGGGAAATGAGTAGAGTACCCACATCTAAACAGAAGCATCTGCTTTGACAATTATGGCTACACCATCTGGAGGACTGGACCCAACCTGCCCCCCGCTTCTCTGAGAGGCTGAGGGACACCCGCCAGACATGACAGCTTCCGTCACTGGAAAGGAGAGGTGCCCACAGGACTTGCTGGAATGGTGCTACCTGCTGCTTTCCTCCTGTCCTTGGCAGCAAATCACTGCAGATAGGGTTTCCAGTTGGAGCATTCTTAGGCACAGCAGTCAGCTGGCATGGTCACCAGTTGCAAAATGTTTGATATGATGCACATTGACAGCCAGACGTGTAAGTCCTGATTAATTCATCTTGACCATTGCTGCTAAACTTGCAAAGGTGGAGACCACAGAACATCATTAAAATCTAATCATGCTCAGCCAAGAATCAATAGTAGAAGCTACTGAGATTTCAGTAATGGAAATGAGGCCTGAGATTCACGTTTTGGCTCTGGAGACTTCATAATTTGATCCTCCTGTGCTGGTGCAGGCAGTTTGTGTAAATGAGTTGAAATCATTTTTTAAACTGCTTTCTTTAGATTTGTACTCCTTGCCAAGTGGAGAAACACATTTTTTAAAAGTGCATCTTTGACAGGTCTTGGCCACATCTCTTTCTGCTTTCCTACATACCTGTAAACAAGCAAGGGCCTTGATAACATTGTTGCTCTACTAAGTGGAGATGCTTGTTACCAAATGGGAAGGGACACATGATGCAGCTGTCACAGAGAAAATCTGGTGCCTTCAAGGTTTCTAATGGGCAAGCTTTCCTCAGTGCCAGGAAATATTTGGCATGGGCATAACAGGGAATCAGAGCTGGATCTCTGACTGTCAAGCTGTCCTGCCCCTGATCTAAGTCAGCCTGATGTACATGTTGCTCCTGGGCAACTCTGCCATGGTTGGCTGCATAGATTTTGTTCATTGCAGATTTCCCCTTCCTGCAGCCCATGGCATCCTGCTTGCATACATACCAGTCCTAAAAGTCTCATCTGCCTTTTTCCAGCAGAGTGAAAAGGCTTATTCATTGTCCACTCTGATCTGTGCTTTAGACTGTCCAGGGTGTTTTGCTAGAGGTTGTGCTGTGCCTGGCAAGGACAGGGCTTCCTCAGGGAAGAAGCAGAAGGGCTGCCAGGAGTAGCAGTGGAGTGCAACAACAAAAAAAACCCCACAAAAACAAAAAAATTTTTTAAAAATCCCATCACAAAACAAGGCAAACAGCTGCAGACAGGCTGAATCTCTGTTGGATATGATATATTTATTTCTAGGGTTATTCCAGGTAGCACTGGCATGATGATTTTTAAATATCACACTAGAAGGAAGATCGTGTAGAAGACATATACAGCACTGATTTATTCAGTGTAAAGATCTGAAAGCTTTACTTACAGCTATTGTAACTCTGGTGGCTTATCAGTAACTTCAATATTGTGATCTGCCTTTGGCCCTCTCTCAAGGAAAAATTAAGATGTAGTTGCCACAATACAGCTGTGTGTCATTACTCTCTCATAAGGTCTCCAGAAGAGTTGATAAGATCCCATAAAAAGCTTCAGAGTGCCACTGGCAAACAAATGTCCTCTTGCAGCAATTGTATGAATGCACAGTTCTTAAATACTAGCTGTGAATAGAGAACTCTTTAACCAAAGGTCTTTTGTACCCACAAATTTGTCATGCTGAAGCAAATTGCTGGGGTAGTTAAGATCCCATCCCATGTGCATCATTCTACCTGAGTTCTCTTGCTGCCCTGCAAATTATTTAACATGCAGTTTGAATGCCCCTCCTTGTCTTCCCACCAGAGCCTCTTCTTCATCCTACAGGGAATATTTAATGCTGAAATTTTGACATGACTTGCATTTCCATATTGGGACACAGCAATGGCCCAAACATACAATTATATCTTCAGCTCAGGATGGAGCACAACGAGCTGTTTTAATAAGGGTTTTCTTACTCTCCTCCCACGACCCTGAAATAAAAGCAAAGGGAATACAGAAAATGACTGCCCAAGGAAATTGGTTTTTTATAAATGTTCTCTCCTCTCAAGTGTATTCCAGGGCAATAGTCCTGCTGCAGTGTAGGAAAACACTAGCATTAACAAGTGATTATTCCACAGGCCTGGGTTTGCCCAGCAGTCCAGTACTTGGAGATGATGCATAGGTAGGCCGGAGCTGCTGCATTCATTCTGCTTGGCACCATTTTTCTTCTGCTTTGTCATACATATCCTCATTACAGCCTGCTGGCAAGGACTGGTAATGGGATGAGTTACCTGGGATTGGACTTGGTACAATAGTCAGCTAATCGCCAGTTCCCGGGCAGAGCCATTGCTCATGGAGATGCATTTCCTTGCTGCTCCCAGGCAGTTCTGTGAAGGATGTGAGAAGAGCAGGAGTACTGGCAGAGGAGCAGCCTTGCAGCCATCCCTGCTGGGGTGGCTCCTCTCCCAGCCAGGGAGCAGCAGCTCTGGGCTTGCCAGCCCAGAGGAGCAGGGGGTTGTGCTCAGCAATCCCCTCTGGAGAGACCCCAGCCCTGGGGGAGCAGGCAGGGCCCGGGCTGCAGGAGGCTGCACAGCAGCTGCTGCCAACCATTAACCTGGACTCGTGCAGGAAGGGGCAGAGCTTTGTCTCAGTGCAGCTGGCAGAAAAGGAGGGAGGTACGAGGGCTCTTTCAGAGAGACACATTATTAAATCTTGGGCTTGTTCACGTTTAGACAATCAGCTGTTAGCAAAAATAGGGTGTCTTGGAACCATAACCGAAATACTGCATGTAAACAATGTTTGTAAGCCAAGCCACTGACCTTTGCTGCTTTTACTGTGATTTTCAGGTGCTTGCGGAATTGTGGAAGGGAGAAGGGAAGACTCCTCTTGAAATTGTTAAAGAACAGAAACTTGAACTGTTACAGGATCAAAAAGAGCTTGAACAGATCTGCCAGGCAGTGATTGATGGACAAGAAAATGAGGTGATTATGATGGTGCTGGGAACCTGCTGCACTGTGGCAGTCTGTGGAAAGGGGGTTAAAATAGCCTCTCTTTTTTTCCCTTTTGATGGCATTTGTGCTCTAGAGCCAGAGCAGTAAAGCTGCTGCCAAGATATTATCAAGGTTTTCTTCTTTCTTATTTTACTAAGTGGGGTTTTTGAAACTGAAACTTACACAAAATGATCTGCAAAACAAATTACCAGTCTGGCTAATGTGCTAAGTCATTCTGGGAGCCCATAAAACTTTAATGCAGGAAAGCAAAACTGCAGGGCCCTATCCCTCTCCAGCGGTACTGCCATTAACCTGACCCTGCCCCGCAGCCACATAACTCTGATTTTTATGTCATCTGTTGTGATATTGGGGCAACACTGTTAAACTGCTCTGAAGCTGAAGTTACCTGCCAGCAAGGCATACATTAGTTATGGAATTAGAGACTGTATCAGAGCTGGCAAGGCAGATATTCTGCTTGCATCTTTTTGCCATGTCCCTGTCTCTGTCCACTGCCAAAGAGAGGAGCCTGGCTGGCTCTCCTGCCTGACAGTGGCTGTGGCGTGGGGAGGAGCCAGAGCCCTGTGGCGGCAGCAGCAGCTCCAGAGCTGCTGCCCACTCTGCTGTTCTGCTGGGCTGTGGCAGCAACACAAACACTCCCCATGGGGGATGATTGGCTCTTCCCCATCTCCTTGAAAGACACACAGCAGCCAGTGTGGCTCAGTCTAACAAGGTCTGAGCTGGAAAAAAGGGAAAAAACCCTTGTTGATCATGAAGGGGAGGAGTAGGAAGGGATCTTGACAGAGTCTATATAATCTGCTTTATAAAAAGCAAAATGAAAACAAGTGCTTATATGTTCTCTGGAGCAAAAATGTAAAAGCAGAAGTGAATAGCTTACTTCTAATATAAACAATGTCTAGCTCCATTTGCCATTTGGAAAAAAACATTAACATCTTTTGAGAACAATACCACCCACTCCAGATCTCATTGGGGGAAGCTAACAGCTCTGCAAGAGCTTTTGATAAAACGAGCTTGCAGTAGGTCGGCGTGACCTCCATCTGACTTGACTCATTTGCAGAGCCTGATAAAAGTGCTGCTGTATTTCCAGGCTGGTATGAAAGAATAGGCAGGGAGAGAGAAAACGTTAGAACTGACTGGGAAGTGCAGGAGCTGGAAGGTCCATAACCACACTCCCATTTCAATGTGTTTTGAGAGTAACTTTTTTCAGAATGAAATAGCTTCTAAACAGCTGCTCAAACCAACACTGAGCACTTATGACAGTGCAGGACTGTACTGCACTCTGCTCCACATAGGTAATTTCTAGCAGAGCCAGAGTAATGAGTCTTTTCCACTGTGCAACATAACAGAGAAGATTTTAGACTGACAATAATTCAGATACTGTAATGAGAAGCAGTATTTGCATTTGAATTTGGTATTGGCACAGTGTATAGCTCCTATGTTTGCACCCCTTCCCTGAACATCTGCAAATATGTCATCCTGTTTCTTTGCATCGATTGTGTTCTGCCTAGTAACTCTGACAAGGTAGAAAATGCCTTCCCTGCCACACAAACAGTAGCCAGATGCTTGTCTTTCAGCAGTAGCATCTCCTTTAGGAAGGCCCAAAGGTGAAATTTCTGATCCTTTCCGCTTTTAAACATGGGTCTTGCAGGGTAGCAGGTGATTATGCATCAAAGGCTGTCTGATAGCAGGGCATATTTGACCAGTTAATTAATCATCATGTTGCAGAGGAGTAGTTGCTGGAAGGAAATAAAAAGCACCTACGTCTGTGCTTGAAGGACCTCACCAATATTATCAAATAGATTTTGATTTTATTCAAATCACCTGTTATAACAGGACATTATATTCAGTAAAATGGTAGATCCTATTAGCAAGGCAAGTCCATCTCATTTCTCTGGCTTTTTTCCAGGAAGTTGCCGTTCAAACTGCAGACACTGTAAAATCCAAAAGTATTTTCTGACTCTTTCAATAAGAGGAGCTCTATTAGTTGTAAGGCCCTGATGCTGTAGGGACTTGCTGTTCTCTCATGGGAGCAGAGCAGGAGCTTATTGCAGGGCTGAAGGCAGTTTTTATAAATAACACTTTATCCCAAAATGTAGTCTTTTATCACAACAGTCCAAAGAACAAAAATATTCATACCTTGGTGGGGAATGTTCAGTTTTCCTGTAACAATGGTGTCTGTTGCATTTTTTTTCTTTAAAGGTTATGGCGATCAAGGCAGGAAATCCAAAAGTTCTAAATAAGTTAATTGGTCTGGTACAAAAGAAAACACAAGGACGTTCCAATCCTGTTCTGGTGAAGCAATTATTAGAGAAGAAGCTATCAGAGTAGCCACAAGAGAAAAAGCACACAAGCAACTAAGGAAGCATGTGCTTCATTCTGTCTGCAAGTGAACTTTGGTGTGTCCTTGTGCAGCATCATGCTTCTTGGATATACTTCAAGCAGCCTGAAGTCCCAGCCTTCCCTGGATGCATCAGCCAAAGGCAGATGGGCCAGAGAAAAGCAGGATACAGCCATTTGCATCTCCCATGCTTTGATGTGGCACTTGGAAATGTGATTTCCACACAGCCCTGGGAAACAAGCGCCCAGAGGTGTCTGTGAGTACACAGAGAGCTGAAACTGCATGGGTCAGTTTTCCAATAAAGCGGGTACAAACTCAGCTTTTCTGTCCGCCTGTTTGTGAGAAGGGGGATTCACAATCTCAAATACTCAATCTGGGCATGCACACCATAACTCACTGTCAGTGTGAGCACACTGAGTGCTCACTCACAGAGCCCAACAGGAACAATTATTAAAACACCCAGAAGCAATTGAGGAGCCCACGTGTGCCTCCAAGCCTTACAGCAGGGAACAAAAAGTTCACTGCTCTCATTCTTGCTGGTTTCTGAGGAAAGAGGAAAGGTTGAAGCCACAAGCTGCTTCACTGTGTGCCTAAGGGTGGTGCCACAGACAGAAGTGCCAGCATCTCACCCTGTCAGATTGTTTGCTCACCTCCTTCCAGTTACTGCACCCACATAGCTGCTGTGCCTGCTCTCAGTGCTGAGGAGTGCTTACAGGGTGTGCGCCTGAGCCCTTCTGCGGGTCACATCCCATTTTGGCATCAGAGGCTCAGAACAGCAGATGTGCTTCTGCCAGCCCTGTACAATCTACAGCAGAACAAGAAGAATCCTAAAATAGCTGGAGTTGATCATTAGAGTCCAGCTCCTGGCCCTGAACAGGACAGCGCCAGATCCAGTTCGGTTATTTTTTCTCTGCAGGCAAGAACTTGGTCCCATGTTACAAATGCTCAATGCCCAGGGCTGCTGCTTCTCTGGCACATGGTTTTCTCCTATCATCTGGAACTGTACTGCTTTGGAACATGCAGTTTGGAACTGTACTGCTTAGGAATAGAACATGCAGTTGGCTGAGCTGCATTCAGCTGGGGTTCAGTCCTCTCCACTACTTAATCCTAAGGGGATTTTGTGCTGGTAGTTTTTATTTTGGGTTTTTTACATTGTTTGTTTTTCAGTTCCTGGCTTTCAGTACTCACCAAAATGCATTTGGGATCTGGAATAAACTTACCCATCCCAACCAGCTTTAGCTGATTGAGCCATTAACAGGAAATGCAACAAGAAGGAGCCTGTCAAATTTTCATGTAGTGAAATTTAGTACCAGATGCCTGAAGTTCTTAAATCCCTTCTGGAGACTGCTAAGCCATACTTTTTAAAGATCACACTTACCTCAGGCCTCATAGCTACTTCTTTAGAATTGTTCTTTAGGATGTGCCTGCAGGGCAGACATTGTCACAGGAGTGCAGCAGTGTGGCCCTGGGACTTCAGTCACCTTTGGCTTGCAGCACTAGTTCAAAGTAGGCTGATGGCAGTTCTTCCTCCTGAGTGGCAGCACTGATGTCTTGAGGAGGATGTTGTTTACAAACTGGCTGAGGTTCAAGTGCAAACTCCTTCATTAGAAGGAAAAAAACCCTTTGGTTTTCAATACATTTAATGAATAAAATGTATACCCATTGTTTACAAAAAAGACCTTTACAATTCAAACATCATCCTACAGCTTACAAAATACAGTGACACAACTGCAGTCAAAAACTGTGACCCTTCAAAAACCAATCCACCAAGCAAAAAGCCTAAACCTCCAAAAACTCCCCAAATCACACCACACCCAGGATTTTCATGTCACTTTCATGTCATTTCCACTGTCACTTTTCACATCATGAGCAAAACCTACTATTTTTACCTAGAGTGGCGTGAATTTTCTGTAAGTGTTCAGTCAATAAAGGTTTAGATTATACAACAAGCTATTGGAATTCTGTTCAACTCTTGCCATGGCAGCAAGAAACAAGAAGGCACAAGGGTTTCTCCATGAAATCTTGAATACTAGAAATCTTCCCTCAGTTTAGAAATACACAGTTGTTTCCCAGAGGTGGTCCTCCAAAGGTTAGTGTTTGTTGTGGCACAGCTGGATGCTGCTCTGCTGAGTTCCCCACTGCTGCAGTGGGTGCCTTTTAAAAAGAGAAATCAAACCAACAATGTATTTGAAAGAGAAATAAGGCGATGCAGGAAGCATCTGAATTAATGTAGCAAGGCTACTGCTGATAATTCTGTCTACGGTTCTTCTTAGACACACTTTTACTATAGAATTATACTTTACTAATATGTGCAAAGCCTGTTAAAAATCATCAGCCATCACTCTGAGTGGAGTCTGTGTCAGTACATCATGCACGTGGGCCTGTGCAAAGCACTGGACACTGTCCTGCATGGCATCCTTATCTTTACACTGGAGAGACATGGATTTGATGGGTGGACTGCCCAGGGGACAAGGAATTGGCTAGCTGGTTGCACTCAAAGAGCTGCAGTCAATATCTTGATGTCCAGGTGGAGGCCAGTGATGAGTGGGGTTGGCCAGGGGTTGTCACTGGGCCTTGCCCTGTTTCACATTGTGGGGGATGCTTTGTGGGGTGCTCCCAGGACGAGTGAAGAGATGTGAATCTTGACTGCATGTTTCAGAAAGCTGGTTTATTATATTACAATACTATATTAAAACTATACGAAAAGAATAGAGAGAAAAGGATTCATCAGAAGGCTAGAAAGAATAGGATGGAATGCAATGACAAAGACTTGTGACTCTCCAAGAGTCCGAGCCAGCTGACTGTGATTGGCCATTAATTACAAACAACCAACATGTACCAATCCCAGGTGCACCTGTTGGGAAACAATGTCCAGACCACATTCCACAGCCATCAGATAGTTATTGTTTACATTTCTTTTCTGAGGCTTCTCAGCTAGAATAGGAGAAAAATCCTAGCAAAGGATTTTTCATAAAATATCATGGCTACATCACATCTTTGCTGGGGACAAGGACCAGCAAAGTGTGATTGAGTGCTCCCTCATCCATCACCAAGTTCTCTGATGACAACAAGCTGTGTGGCATGGTTGACACACTGCAGAATGGGGATACCATCCAGAGGGATCTGGACTGGCTTGAGTAGTGGGGCTGTGAAAAGAAGTGGACTTCAGGGTGCTGGGGCATGAAAAACTTGACACAACCTGGTAATGTACAGTCACAACCCAGAAGGCCAAATATGTCCTGGGCTGCATCCAAAGCCCTGTGGGCAGCAGGGCAAGGGTGGGGGTTCTGCCCCTGTGCTCTGCCCTGGTGAGACCACACCTGCAGTGCTGGGTCCAGCTCTGGGGTCCCAGCACAGGAAGAACAGGAGTCTGTTGGAACAAGTCCAGAGGAGACCATGAAGATGATCAGAGGGCTGGAACATCTCACCTGTGAGGACAGGCTGAGACAGCTGGGGCTGTTCAGCCTGGAGAAGAGAAGGCTCTGGAGAGACCTTATAGCACATTGCAGTACCTCAAGGGGGCCAACAAGAGCTGGAAATGGACAAGGGCATGTAGTCATACATGGGGATGTACATAGAGGGGGAATGGCTTTAAGATGAGAGAGGGCAGATTTAGATTGGGTATTAGGAAAAACATCTCTACTGTGAAGCACTGGAACAGGCTGCCCATAAAAGCTGTAGATGTCTCATCACTAGAAGTGTTCAAGGCCAGGTTGGATGGGGCTTTGGGCAGCCTGTTCTAGTGGAAGTGTCCCTGCCCATGGTGGGAGGAGTTAGAATTACATTAATGTCCCTTCCAACCATTCTGTGATTTACCGTCAAGTTTCAATCTGTTTTCACCTCCACCTGCCAGACACAATGGATAACAAGAAAGATTAAAAGGTATAATTGTAATATTCTTCCCTTCCGGGGAAGGTAAAGAGCAGCCATAGTCTATAAATTTTGCACTATATTATGAAACAGTCATTTTTGAAAATTTTAAAGAACTCTTTTGCAGACATACACAAAATGTAAATTTCTTTTTGATAGGAAAAAAAAAGGGGGTTTGAGTCAATTGAGATCAAGATAATAAAGCTTTTTAACATTTGTGGAGATATCAGCTACCAACTTCAAAGCACCAGTAGCTGGCAGTGCTCAGACCAGCGGTGGGAAGGCTCAGCTGGGCCAGCTCACATTGCTCCCACTATCCAAGCCTGCATTAAGGGGCTCATCAGTCACCTCACACCCCTTTGACTGAACCAGTACAACCAAAACATGGGATCATTTTGCCTGCCAAGGCTCTTATACAGCAGCCTAAATACAACACCACCTTCCCATTCCCCTAAATGGAGCTCACAGCAAATTCTAAATAATCAACAAGTGGGGCGCTGTACTGGGCAAAACAAACAGCTTTGGTTTACATCTGCTTAGCAGTAGTTGATGAGCACATAAAAAAAGCAGAAGCAGCAGCCTCAAGTAATTTAGTTTCTGCTATTTAAGGACAAATAGAACAACCCTACAGGACACGTGGGTCTGCAGGATGGAAGGCAGAGCCTGACTCTGAAGTACTGGATGCAGAACATCCTGCAGACCAGAAGGCTGTCCCAAGTGTGGCTGTATCGAGGCTGGAACTCTGGAATGAAGATTGAGGCTTTGACCCCAACTTGGAAGTCTCATTTAGCTACTCCAGTGCTCTCTGATCTAATGATTGCAGATGCCATCTGTGCAACAGCATCAGGCAGGGTGAATTAAGGACAGTTTCATGCAGATTTTCAGCAGTTACTATCCATGAACAGCGGACCAAGGAAAATGCTCACAAATTAAAAGCTGACACCAGACACTATCATGACCATCTCATCTACTCATTGCTGGAAGTCTTTTAGGAGGTCAGGCCTGAGGGGTGGAGAGCTGATACTTACCATCCCATATAGCTGAAGTATCCTGTATCTGAGGCTGCAGAAGAGGAGAAGAAAGTTGTCTAAAAAGATGCTGGCAATGCTCTAAGTAGCGAAGAAAGAATTTCTAGCGCTCAGCCTTGGCTGCAGAGTTTAATTTTAACTGTGTTAAAAATAGAAGCACACGACAGGAACCTTAACTAAAAAATTATAGCAGAGCATTCAGCTGTGGTTTCAGTGCAGCCCCTTTCCACCCTGCTTTGTGGTGTGGTGTTGGGGTTCTGGGATGCTCTTGTGTCTCTTCTGAGCACCCTCTACCTACACTTACACAACCATTGACCTCAGCAGCGCCTTCCCAGGGATTTATGGCCTTGTGTGCATGCTCAGTCTGGAGAGTGTTTGTTTTTTCACACATAAAGAAAAACAAATTAGGTTTTCAGTCAA